GTTATTTCAATCTAGTTGTGGAGGGTGCATCTCAGTGGCCCATGTGGGGCTCGAACCAGCAACCTCGGTGTTATGAGCACTGCGCTCTAACCAACTGAGCTAACTGGCCGCCCCTCTATTTGAATATTTTTAATGGATTCCACTTCTCTGATAAATTCTCTATCTTGTTACTGTTTTTTATCTGTTATCTTGTTTTTAAATTTTTGGAGTAGCTTGGATCTGTTTCTGTCTGTTTTACCTGTTTGTTTTTAGTCATTTTTCTCCTGTCTAGTTATGTCTATTATTTATAGTTGAATTGTGGACATTATGTTTGAAAAATTTTAGAGGTTCTAAATGATACTGTTTCTGAATATGCTGTCTTTCTCCAGAGATGATTTAATTTGCCTCTGGAAGGCCTTTAGAGTATGGGCTGATCACCTTCATCTATTTAAGATAATCTGTTTACTGTTTGCTCTTAGTTCTGAGTGTAGTCCTTCTGGGGTTTCAGCTGTAAATCTGGGATGATTAACAAAAAAACCTTCCTCTGTTGAAGGACCTGAACTCCAATTTCTGTTTCTGCAGCACTGTGAGACTGCTAAAATCTCTACTTGGATCTTTAGCCTTTTCAAAGCTACTTTGCGCTTAATTTCTTGGCCATGGTAGATATTCGACTTGAGTCAGCAAATGCCTTGGGAAAGTCCATGTAAAATGTTGCTTTAATTTAGCAGGTTGCTTTCTGTTCAAGACCTTGGCTGTCTAGTCCTGGCTACGTTGGCTATTCATTAGTGTCATCAAACAGTTTTTATTTTCATTAACTTTTTTTCAGTTGTTTTTGGTGGGTTAACCTGATACCAGCTTCTTCATCATAGCCAGAAACAGAAGTCTTCTTTCCTATCTTTTGTTGTAGTTTTTCTGTATTTTATTTTATTTTATTATTATTATTTTTTTAAATACTTTTTTATTGGGGAACTGGGGGAGGGGAACAGCGTTGGGGAATCGGGGAAGGGGAATAGACAAGTTGCTGTCCTTTTGTTCTTCAGTCTAGTTATGGAGGATGTCGCTTCACTGGCCCATGTTGGTATTATTGCGCTCTTCCTGGGTGAGGCAGTTGCTCATCAGCCATTGGACAGCTGCTCACGGTGGCTCACGCCAACTGCTGGCCAGCACTACTGCAGCCTACGCCATTGCCGGCGACTCATGGCAGCCCAGCTCCAGGTTGAGCTGTTGTTCACCATCTTAGCTGTAGAGGACGCAGCATCACTGGCCCTCATGTGGGATCCAAATCGGGGCCCTGCTTCTCAGAGCTGGCGTCCCAAGCCGCCTCTTAACCAACGCACCACTCGGCCGGCCCTATTTCTGTATTTTAGAGCAAATAACATGTAAAGTATGTTCTGTAACCCTAATTGTCACATTAACAACACAGTGTGTTAATAATAGTCATAGAGTTAAAAGATTCAATGCTCATACGAATCCTTATAGCTTAGTTTTGTTTTTCTTCCCGGGTCTCTCTTGCTTGCTTCTCTTTAGTTTATTCTTTATTGCATTTCTCAAGAAAGGCTTATAGATCCTAATGAAATTTACATACTTATTTACTTTATTCAAATACACATGTACACACATATTTAAGTTTTAGAATAACACCAATACTATTATAAGCAGTATGTTTATTGAAAATTTTAAACATTTTTAAAAATTAGTTTCAGATATACAAAGGAACATAATAGTTAAACATTTACACCCCTCAGAAAGTGATAATCCCCCTCCCCCAGGCTGCTACCCCTCTGACGTCTTATATAGCTGTTACAATACCATTGACTATCTTCCTTATGCTATACTCCATATCCTGTGACTACATATATATGTATGTTTAATTATAGTTGACTTAAATATTTTTATTCAGTTTTTTTTTAATCAATATCATACTATTTTAATTATTGAGTTTTTTGGTATGCTTTCAATAACTCTTGGGGTATTCCTTCTCATTCCTCTTTTTTCATTTTTTCAAAATTATTTTTGGTTGTTTATTTTTCCATATGGACTTTTTGTTTTTGTTTTTTATTTTAATTGGGTAAATGTGTTTTTTCCAGGACCCTTCAGCTCCAAGTCAAGTTGTTGTTTCAATCTAGTTGTGGAGGGCGCAGCTCAGCTCCAAGTCTAGTCTACGTTTTCAATTTAGTTGTGTGTGGGGGGGGGCGCAGCCCACCATCCCATGCAAGAATCAAACCACCAACCTTGTTGTTCAGAGCACGCTCTCTAACCAACTGAGCCACCCAGCCGCCCCTCCATGTGGATTTTTGAATCAGCGTGTCTAATTCTAGGGAAAATAAACCTATTGGTACTTTCTTCAAAGATCTGTAGCTATATTTCATAGATTTTTGATAATGTTTTCAGTATTTTCTAGGAATTTTACGACTTCAGTACAGTTTTTAAAATTTGAAGTGAAAATGTCTCTTGGTTTTATGATTTTATTATTTCTCATTTTATTTCATATGATCAGACTATTGTTTGAGTTATTTTGACACTTATACATTTATACTGAAGTTGCAGAAAGAAAGCTTTTCTATCGCTCCCATCCCATCTTCCCCCATCTCTTTGCTTACTTCATTCCACGTTTTGATTTTCTTCATGCAAGTCTCCCATCTGAATTACTATTTTTGAGCCCAGATCTAACATAGCCTTTAGTTTACTCTGTTGCACTCAGAGGAAACCAAGCCCCATTCTATATTTGACAGTTATTCAGATATACTTAATATTTACCCATGCCTTTTTACTCACGATTTCATAAGCCTGTCAATGTTAGCATGATTAAAAAATATTTGAGATCAATTTCTGGGAAGTACAAAAGTTGCTTTGGATATGTATAATGGAAAGGAGTCCCTAGGGAAGATATGAAGGAATAAAGTTTGAGTAAATGTAGCATTGATAAGCAACAATATAAACTCTCCTGAGATATATCATTGTAGAATATAAAAGAATAGAGACAGACGTATGTATTTGTTAGTGATTACATAGTTATGGGAATTAAATGAGTAATAACTATTGTTATTTAGTGGTAAATGAACTTAGAGCTTGTTTCTGCCACTGGGGAAACTCAGGAATAAGAAACTAACAGAATAACAAATGAGAAAATTAATAAATACATTATTTCAAAATTGGGAAAAGTGGTACAAAGAAGAGCAACAGATTGCTGGGATAGAGCATAAAGTGCATAGTCTTAAATAGGGTCAGCAGGAATAGCCTTTCTGAATACATGATTTTTGTTTCGAGACCTGAGGATGAAAAGCAAACCAGGCAAAGTCAGAAGATTTCTCAAAGACAGAGCAACCTGTGAACCATCCTATTGAATAGGAACAGTTGTAGTTCATTTAGTGTGTCTTACACTGAAAAAGAGGCCTTTATGGCATGAAAAGAGACAGTAAATGGGAGAGGAGCTAGTAAGCAGAAGCCTTATTATCCCTGCTCAGGTATTTATATTTTATTCTAGTTGTAAAGAGAAATGACAAAACATTTAAGTAGAGGGACCCAAACATTGATCAGCATCAGAATAATTTGTTGGAGAATATAAATAAGAACAAAACAAAAGCATGCCCAGGACCTAGTCCTGTGAATTCTGTTTCAGTTAGTTAAAAATACCTCTGTGTAGTTTTTTTTTTTTTTTTAAAGATTTTTATTGGGGAATTGGGATGGGAACAGTGCTGGGGAATTGGGGAAAGGGGAACAGACAAGTTGCTGTCGTTTTGTTCTTCAATCTAGTTGTGGAGGATGTTGCTTCACTGGCCCAAGTTGGCACCATCATTGCGCTCTTTTCTGGCGAGGCAGATCAGTCGCCGGCTTCTGGACGGCCGCTCACTGCGGCTGCTGGCCGCTCACGCTGGCTGCTGGCCACACACGGTAGCCCATGGCAACCCACTGCCACAGGGGCTGCAGCCTACGCCGTCGCCGGCGACTCACGGCAGCCCAGCTCCAGGTTGAGCTGTTGTTTAGCATCTTAGCTGTAGAGGGCAGTGTCACTGGCCCTCATATGTGGGATCCGAACCGGGGTCCTCTGGCATCCCAAGCGAGTTCTTAACCATCGCGCCACTCGGCCGGCCCACCTCTGTGTAGTTTTAACAAATCTTCAGATGATTCTTATCCACACTTAAATCAGGCCTCTACTGACTTAACTTGTTTTCCCAATCACCAGCCTCACCTCCTTTCCGGGACTTTCCTTATTCTTTGTTTCTTTTGCCTTTTTTTTGAAATGTTTGAGAATACAGCCTGTTCCATAATATATTTAATAATTCATAATACAAATTAGATTACTAGTGATACAAAATAGGGAATGATATCAGCATAATGTGGGAATTAGTTGGTTCTGTAGCACAAATGCCTATTTTCTTAGTTGAATGGAGCCAGAATTGTAGAAGTAGATTTATAACATTCAGCAATAAAGGCAAAAGCCTTCAGTTTGATGCTTTGTTATAAAAATATTAAGAAAATTAATACTAAATGCCTGCACCCAGGGCGCCCTCTCCAGAAATGTGCACAGTCAACATTGCATGGCTCCTCGCTAAAGACACATTGCACTTCACCCCATTCCCACCTTAATGGTAGACTCACTGGCTCAGGGCTATATTTTCATATGTAGTGTCTTAGCACCTGAAATTTGGCATTTCCACTTAATTTTTGTGCATTTAATATCTATGAAGTGGCCTTAGCTATGCTGAGCTGCGTTCTGGGTTCCCTTGAGATACCAATTATTACATTTGTTTGTGCTCTGCTAATAAAGTTGCATAGATTAGTGTGGTCTTCTCCAGCCCTATTTTTTGGTGTATAACTTTGCAGAAGATAGGATTGTTGTTTGTTTGTTTGTTTGTTTTACATACATGTATGTGGTATTGTAGCAGAAATGCCCATGTTCTAGAGATGTCTAATTCATTCACTTGTAATAGGCATTCTTTTAGGTGCCTTTTATTTCTCTTTAGAAGTTTTCTTTCTTCTGGAACAGGAAAACACCATGTGTTTGCTTTCTTGTTTTTCAGATTTGGAGTCCAAATGCAAGACTGATACTTTATCTCCAGAAAAGGATATTTATGAAATATATTCATTCCAGTGGGAGGTAATGGAAAGAATTAAAAGCTATAGCCTTCAGGACTCCATTTTTAGAAATGATTGGGACTGCAAAAGCAAGATTGAGGGGCAGAAGGTACCACAAGAGGGATATTTTGGGCAAGTGAAAATTACTTCTGAAAAAATGACCACTTACAAAAAGCATAATTTTTTTGCTGAATATCAGAGAGTTCATAATGGAGAAAAGATATATGAATGTAAGGAATGTAGGAAGACCTTTATTCGTCGTTCAACACTTAGTCAACACCTGAGAATTCATACTGGTGAGAAACCTTATAAATGTAAGGAATGTGGGCAGGCTTTTAGACAGCGTGCACACCTTATTCGACATCACAAACTTCATACTGGTGAGAAACCCTATGAATGTAAGGAATGTGGGAAGGCCTTTACAGTGCTCCAAGAACTTACTCAACATCAGAGACTTCATACTGGTGAAAAGCCCTATGAATGTAAAGAATGTGGAAAGGCCTTTCGAGTACATCAGCAACTTGCTCGACATCAGAGAATTCACACTGGTGAGAAACCCTATGAATGTAAAGCGTGTGGGAAGACCTTTAGGCAGTGTACACACCTTACTCGACATCAGAGACTTCATACTGCTGAGAAGCTCTATGAATGTAAGGAATGTGGGAAAGCCTTCGTATGTAGTCCAGACCTTAGAGTACATCAGAAAATTCATTTTGGTGAGAAGCCCTATGAATGTAAGGAATGTGGAAAGGCGTTTAGAATATGCCAACAACTTACTGTCCATCAAAGTATTCATACTGGTGAGAAACCCTATGAATGTAAGGAATGTGGGAAGACCTTTAGGTTAAGACAACAACTTGTTCGCCATCAGAGAATTCATACTCGTGAGAAACCCTATGAATGTATGGAATGTTGGAAGACCTTTAGTAGTTACTCACAACTTATTTCACATCAGAGTATTCATATTGGTGAGAGACCGTATGAATGTGAAGAATGTGGGAAGGCCTTCAGGCTGCTCTCACAACTTACTCAACATCAGAGTATTCATACTGGTGAGAAACCTTATGAATGTAAGGAATGTAGAAAACCTTTTAGACTGCTCTCACAACTTACTCAACATCAGAGTATTCATACTGGTGAGAAACCCTATGATTGTAAGGAATGTGGAAAGGCTTTTAGACTTTATTCATTTCTTACTCAACACCAGAGAATTCATACAGGTGAAAAACCTTACAAATGTAAGGAATGTAAGAAGGCCTTTAGACAGCATTCACACCTTACTCAACATCAGAAAATACATAGTGGGATTTAATACAAGAAAGCCTTCAAATGTATATTATGTTACAGAATATCAGAAAATTCATTTTTGAGAAAATTTGTTTCATGCTCACATTTAAGCATAAGAAATTTTATATTATAGAACAAAAGTGTTGCTCTAAAAGCCTTCCTTCATTCAAACATTTTTTATCTCCAGCAAATTTATGAGAGAATAATACAATGAATATAGGAAAATCATTAGCTTTGTCATTATTTCCATTTCACCAGTTTATTATCAGTGTGTTATTGGACAAGGTACTTACATTTCTGTGCCTCATTTTACTCACTTGTAAAATGGTGATAATAGTACCTATATATATTATTTATTGCTGTGTAATAAATTACGACAACTTGATAGCTTAAAATAGTACACATTTATTATCTCACAATTTCTATGGGTCAGGAGCCTGGGCATAACTTAGTTGGGTCTTCTGTTTCAGGGTCTCTCACAGGCTAAAATCAAAGTTTTAGCTGGGGCTGGGTCTCATCTGAAGGCTCAACTGGGGAAGGGATCTACTTCCAACCTCACATGGTTGTTGGCTAAATTCATTTTCTTGAGGGCTATTTCACTGATGTTCTCAGTTTCTAACTGGCTGAAGGCTGACCTCAGTTCCTTGCCACATGGGCCTCTTCAACATGGCTGCTTACTTCATCAAAGTTTGCAAGCCAAGAAGGCAATAGAGTCTGCTAGCATCGTAGAAGTTATAGTCTTGTGTAGTCTTATCACTGAAGTAAGAGTTCCTCACTTTTGCTGTCTTCTACTGGCTAGAAGCAAATTACTGGGTTGCCCCACATTCAAGGGAAGAGGATTACACAATAGTGTGAATAGTAGGAGGCAGGGACCATTGGGCCAATTCACAGCCTGCTACACTGTGTAATAGAATTGTTGTAGGATTAAATAGTTACTACTTGGAAAAATAGCCACATAGCATGTTTTCTGTAAATATCTATAATTGTTATCATCATTAGTATTAGTGAATTCATATGCAAGGAATGTCCCATAGAAGTAAATGTAGAAAAGCCTACTGTCACTCACTGCTCAGTACTTAACTAAATTTAAGATAATTTATTCTGGGTAAAATCTAGGAGGTTATATTTAATGTGAGTTTTTCAACACTTGAGATGCATCAGAAATTTCATGCTGAAAACCTTATGAATTTCATGAATATGAAGTTGAGAGTACAACTGTTGACGAATCAAAGAGATACATGAAATTATTTTCCCATAATTCCCAAAAGTAAATGGTTTCTAATCCTTATTGTCTGAGTATCATTCAAGATTAATTAGAAACTATCAAAACGATGGCAAAAAGGAAACTTGGAAATGTAATTGTGTGTGCATGTTTGTGTGTATGTTTGTGTGTGTATAAAACTCTTGTATAAAAGAAGGAAAACATAATTTCATTACAGTCAATGTACTTTTTGATGCTCAAGTTTCCCTATCTCCAACCGTGTAAGTTGGGTCTTTGGACATGACCCCAGTAGTAGTTAGATAGTTTACTCAGTTATGGCTGTATAATTTGGTCAGCTATGCATGATGCTTGGGCACCAACTCATCATTCTGAAAATTGGTAAATAAGGGGGGGAAATAATTTATTTTGCTTTTGCCATGTGAACCAAATTTCATGGCCACCAAAAGCTCACTAATTAAAGTGTTTTGTTTTTTTAAAAATTAACCAGTAAGTATAGAGATTGATAGGATTAGAAAAAAAAAATCACCATTTTCTAGTTCCCTGTTGGAATAATGGGTCCAAAAAATGATCTTCAATTGCTATTAAAACTATTAGGTGAAAGATTTTATAGTGAGAACATTGTAGTGAATTTATCAAGCTGACCACCTCTGAGCCCTTTGATCAATTTTAACCCCTATAAAAGTGGGACTATCAGACAGTATGCACTTCCTGATATAATGCAGTAGGAAGTACACACCACTACTTACAAAGCTTTATTGCCAAAATTATAAACTGAAGGAATCAAATATTTAAGTCAAATTCTTTGAAACCAAGAATTTGGGGAATAGATGAACAAAGGTAAATGGCACCACAAGGAAGCATCCAGAAGGTGCAAAATTTTGCAAAACAAACAACCAGCTTTCTTTAACTGAGTGGCATGGAAAAGAAGGGACATGGTTAACATATAAAAAGAGACTTAAGAGACATGTCAACTAAATTCAGTCTCTGGGCATTACTTGGACCTAGTTTGAACAAAATGTAAAAAGACATTTTGGAGACAGTTGGGTAAAGGTGGACAAACACCGCATATTAGATGATATTTAGACATAATAATTGAAAAATTAAAAAGTAAAAAGGTAAAGGGGAATAAGAGTTTCAGATTTCCAGGTATAAAACAAATAAATCATGGGTTTGTAAAGTAATATGGTAATAACTATGTATAGTGCTAGGTAAGTACTAGACTAGTCAGGGGGATCACTCCTTAAATTATATAAATGTCTAACCATTATGTTCTACACCTGAAATTAATATAAAATAATATTGAATGTCAATTGTAATTGAAAAACTAAAAAAGGAGGGGAAAAGGTGAACGGGAATAAGAGGTTCAAATTTCCAGGTATAAAACAAGGCATGGGGATGTATTGTACAGCATAAGAAATACAGTCAATAATGTGATAGCGTTCGTTGTATAGTGTCAGATGGTTGCTGGACTTATGGTGATCCCTTCTTTAGGTATGTAAATGTTGAATAACTATGGTGTACCCCTGAAACTAATATAATACTGTATGTTAACTATATTTTAATTAAAAATCTTAAGATAATAATTTTGTCAGGGATGATATCAATGTGATTACCAAGAAATAAGAGCTCCCGTGTGTTAGAGATACATGCTTACATGTTTATGAAATGGTAAGATAACCAGATTTGCATTAAAATACTCCAGCAATAGAAAAAGAATTGTCAAGGAGATTGGCAAAATGTTGATAATTACTAAAGTGCAGTGGTTTGTAAATGAGAGTTCATTGTTCTAATATTTCTACTTTTCTATGTGTTTGAAGTTTCAATAATAAAATGCTTAAAATCAAATCTGAAATTACAGACTACTTAGAAATGAGATGCCTGAGTATATAAACTTGTCAGATATCACCAAAGTTCTGTTCAGTGAGAAATGAATACCTTTTAATGCACTAAGGAAACTTTGTGGGGTCAGTCTTCATCTTCTTCACTTATCCACAGCAATCAACTCTGGGCCTGTCACATAGATAAATGTATTAAAGGAATGAATAAGCGTTTATGTCAAGAAATCAGAAACAAAAACAACACAAGAGAAACAAAGTACAATTAAAAGTAGAAATTAAGAAACTAGACAATAGTTGATGGTGTTCTTTTTAAATGAATTTTAATTTTTCAATTATAGTTGACATTCAATATATTGGATTCAGGTGTACAGCCTAATGGTTAGAAATTTATATAACTTATGAAGTGATCCCCCTAAGTCTATTACCCACCTGACACCATACATAGTTATTACAATATTATTGGCTATATTCTCTATGCTGTACTTTACATCACTGTGACTATTTGTAACTGCCAATTTATAATTTTGAACTCCTTCACCTTTTATCATTCCCCTAAGCCCCTTCAATCTGGCAACCATCACTTTGTTCTCTGTATCTATGAGCTTGTTTCTCTTTTATTTATTTTGTTTTTAGATTCCACGTACAAGTGAAATTATATGGTATTTGTCTTTCTTTGTGTGACTTATTTTACTTAGCACGATACCCTCTAGGTCTATCCATGATGTTGCAAATGGTTAGATTTCATTCTTTTTTATAGCTGAGTAATCTTTCATTGTATATATGTACCACTTCTTTATCCAATCATCTATTGATGGACACTTAGGTTGCTTTCATAGCTTGGCTATTGTAAATAATGCTGCAGTGGATATAAGGATGCATATATCTTTCTGAATTAGTGCTTTGGATTTCTTTGGATAAATACCCAGAAGCGGAATTGCTGGGTCATATCATATGGTAGTTCTTTTTTTAACTTTTGAGAAACTTCCATAATGTTTTCCATAGTGGCTGCACCAATTTGAATTCCCATCAACAACACATGAGGTTTCCTTTTTCACACCTCCTCGCCAACACTTGTTTGTTCATTTATTGATGATAACCATTGTGACAGGTGTGAGGTGATAACTCATTGTGGTTTTAATTTCCATTTTTCTGATGATTGTAATGTTGAGCATCTTTTCATGTCTGTTGGCCATCTGTTGTCCCCTTGGGAGAAATGTCTATTTAGATCCTCTGCCCCGTTTTAATTAATTGCATTGTCTTTTTGGTGTTAAGTTGTGTGGGTTTCTTTTATATTTTAGATGTTAACTCCTTATCGAATGTATCATTGGCAAATATCTCTCTCCCATTCAGTAGGCTGTCTTTTCGTTTTGTTGATTTCCTTTGCTGTGCAAAACCTTTTTAGTTTGATGTAGTCACGTTTAGTTTTTTTGTTTGTTTCCCTTGCCTGAGAACACATACCCCCCCAAAATATTAATATTACTAAGAGCAATGTCAGAGAGTTTACTATCTATGTTTCTTTCTAGGAGTTTTGTGGTTTCAGGTCCTATATTTAAGACTTTAATCCATTTTTAGTTTATTGTATATGGTATAAGAAAGTGGTCTAGTTTCTTTTCTTTCTTTCTTTTTTTTTTTTGCTTGTATCTGTCCAGTTTTCCCAACACCAGTTACTGAAGAGGCTATCGTTACCCCATTGTATATTCTTGCCTTTTTTGCCATAGGTTAAGTGACCATGTAGGTGTGGGCTTATTTCTGGACTCTCTAGTCTTCTCCATTGACCTATGTGTCTGTTTTTTATGACAGCATCATGCCATTTTTAATTACAATAGCCTTGTAGTATACTTTCATATCAGGTAGCATGATACCTCCAACTTTATTCTTTCTCAAGATTACTGGCTATTGAGAGTCTTTTGTGGTTCCATTTATATAACATTTTAGGGTTATTGGTTCTTGTTCTGTGAAAAATGCCATTGGTATTTTCATAGGGATTGCATTGAATCTATAGATTGCTTTGGGTAGTATGGACATTTTAATGATGTGAATTCTTCCTATCCATGAGCATGGTATATGTTTCCATTTATTTGTAGCTGCTTCAGTTTCCTTCTTCAGTGTCTTACAAATTCCAAATACCGGTCTTTTACCTCCTTCGTTAAGTTTATTCCTAAGTGTTTTATTCTTTTTGATGAAATTGTAAATGGGATTGTTTTCTTAATTTCTATTTCTGATAGTTCATTATTGGTGTATAAAAATGCAACCAATTTCTGAATGTTAGTTTTGTATCCTGCTTCTTCACTGAATTCATTGATCAATTCTCATAGTTTTTTGGTGGACTCTTTAGCGTTCTCTAGTATCATGTCATCTCTAAATAATAACAGTTTTACTTCTTCCTTTCCAATTTGGATGGTTTTATTTCTTTTTCTTGTCTGGTAGCTGTGGCTAGGATACTAGGATACTATATAGGATACTATACTGTGTTGAATAGAAGTGGTGACCGTAGGCACCCTTGTCTTGTTCCTGATCTTAAGGAAAATGCTTTTATCTTTTCACCATTGAGTGTGATGTTAGCTGTGGATTTGTCATACATTGCTTTATTGTATTGAGGTATGTTCCCTCTGTCCCCACTTTCCTGAGAGTTTGGTTTTTTTTAAATCATAAATGGATGCTGGATTTTGTCAAATGTTTTTTCTAAATCTATTGATATGATATGATTTTTATCTTTCATTTTGTTTATGTTAATTGATTTGCGGGTATTGGATCAATCTTGCATCCCAGGAATAAATCCCACTTTATCATGGTATGTGATCTTTTTACTGTACTGCTGATTTATTTGCTAATATTTTGATGAGGATTTTTGCATATATGTGCATCAGGGATATCAGCCTATAGTTGTTGTTATTTTGTAATGTCTTTGGTTTTGGCATCAGTATAATGCTTGCCCTTGAACTTGGGAGCCTTCCTTCCTCTTCAATTTTTTGGAATATTTTGAGAAACATAGGTGTTAATTATTCATTTATTAAGCCATCTTGTCCAGGATTTTTGTTTGTTGAGAGTTTTTTGGATTACTGATTTGATTTTGTTAGTAGTTATCCATCTGTTCAGAATTTCTGTTTCTTCTTGATTCAGTCTTGGAAAATTATATGTTTCTAGGAATGTATCCATTTCTTCCAGATTGTTCAAATTTGTTAGCATGTAATTGTTTGTAGTATTTTCTTACAGTCCTCTGTATTTCTATGGTGTAATTTGTCACTTCTTTTTCATTTCTGATTTTATTTATTTTGGGCCCTCTCCCTTTTTTTCTTGATGAATGTAGGTAATGTTTATCAGTTTTGTTTATCTTTTCAAAGAACCAGCTCTTGGTTTCATTGTTCTTTTTTATTGATTTTTTTACACTCTATTTCATTTTCTTGTGTTCTGATCTTTATTATTTCTTTCCTTCCACTAACTTTGGGCTTGTTCCTTTTTTTCTAATTTTTTTAAGTGTATGTTTAGAATGTTTATTTTGGATTTTTTTTGTTTCTTGAGGTATTACTATGTATTTTCCTCTTAGAATTGTTTTTGCTGTGTCCCATATATTTTGGGTTGTTTTGTTTTTATTATCATTTGTATCAAGGTGTATTTTGATTCCTTTCTTGATCTCATTGTTAACGTATTCATTGTTTAGTAGCATGTTATTTGGCCTCCATATGTTTGTGTATTTTTTAGTTTTTCTTGTTATTGATTTCTGGTTTCATACCATTGTGATCAGAGAACATGCTTGATATTATTTCAGTCTCCTTAAATTTACTGAAACTTGTTTTGTGGCTTAACATGTGGTCTATCCTGGGAAATGCTCCATTTGCATTTGAAAAGAATGTATATCCTGCTGTTTTGGGGTCAAGTGTTCTAAAAATATTAATTAAATCTGTCTGGTGTGATGTGTCACTTAACGCCACTGTTTCCTTGCTGATTTTCTGTCTGGATGATCTACAGAGTGTGCCAAAAAAACATATACAGATTTTAAGGAAGGAAAACTGTATTAAAATTGGAATAATATATACTGATAACAAAAGATGAATACAAGTCACGTTTGACTTCTGCAATTACAAAAGGTGCTCAAAGTGGTTACCATAAGCGTTCAGACACTTCTGATTATGGCCAACTACTGTTTGAGCAGCATTGACCAAAGTGTCCACTTGTATACATTTTTTGGCACCCCCAGTATTAATTAAAGTCAATGGGATGTTGAAGTCCCCTAATATGACTGTACTACTGTCATTCTCTCACTTTATGTCTCTCAATA